AACTCAAACTCGCTGCTTTGCTGGAGGAATGACAGAGAGCTCTCCTCTCTGTGGGGTGGTCACACAATGTGATGGCCCTGTTAAAGCTTAACGAATCTCAACGTAGGTGACATAGGTACGTGAGATGAAACATGCAATCTAAAAGTATCTTTATCCTGCTCTTATGGTTGGTGGGCTCGACAGTGAAACACGCAAATGTAGTGTATACTTCGTTAAATTACATCATTAGCTACAAAGGAATTAAGTTGGTTAGTTTTATTAGTACTATATATACGAAGATCTAAAATGCCTCAAACAATCGAGAATCAAATAACCTAAATAAAATACACAAGGTAAATGGAGATGAACTACACAAAAATATAGCTTCAAAAATGAAGCTTCAAAAAAGAAGAAATAAAAACTGAGAACCTTATCTTTCAACTTTGCATCTATTTAAACCCAAGCAATTAGTTCTATACTTCTCAATATACCTAAATTCCTCCCTATTTAATCCCCTGGGGTTACATTCTTTCAAAATGGCAAATTTATAGTTGTCAATAGTAAAAATGTCACTGTGATGTTCATAGGCATGAATCGAAAGGGCTGATTTATTACGATCCTCTACTTTAAAACAGGCTCTGTGTCCATTGACATCCTGCTCTCATGTTTGTAAAAGTTGATAGTACTTCAACTGGAAACACAACCGTCATCTCGACTATAATTACGAGAACAATAGAGGCACCCACGTTAGTGCTTAAAATTAACAAAAGCTCTAATTGACGTCATGCTTTGTAAAGTAGCATTGTAGGTACTGTAAACAATGTAGTACCTACAATACTGACTACAACGCCAGGAAGATGTATGCAACCTTCACTGCTTCATCCACTGGTCTCCATCTATGCATGTCACTTATCGCTTTGTCACTAACTCTTTACTTTTTTAAATTTTACTCTCCTTTGGCTTCGTATTTCGAGAAATTCGGATGACATATTCCATTGTGTGTGGGAAATTATGGTTTTTGTGACCTGTATTTTTTAAATTTGGTAAGAGAACAAAAGGAGGGAACTGAATAAAGCACCAGTATTCGCTTCAGCTCGAAGACAACTACTACTCGAAGTTCGCGTAAAACTATTACTTCTTCTTAAGATAATTTCTTCCGATCTACATTCAAACATCATGATCTCACCAATCATATCAACAAATGTAACAGATTTGTAGCGTTAATATGGGTTAATAAAATCATTATTTTTTCCGTATAATCATATTATAAAGCTTACTTCTCCGATGTTTTTTTTTTGATATATATCGACCTGAACTCTTATAATTATCTACCAACATTTACATAAGCTTTTTATAGTTAGATGGAAACTTTGAATTACAACTCAACATTCACAAGCAGAAAAGATTAAATTTTCTTTAAAGTTTGATGTGTGTTTGATGTGTTTCTGTAAACCTACTTTACACTATTACTGATTACATAAGCCTCCCAAGTTAAAATGTCCTTGTTTTCGACACTTTATAGTAAAACCGGCCTGCATTATTCGTATATCAAGCAACGAATAGCTCAATAGCTGCTTCATTACTAGCCGCTTCATTACCGACACAAACCACTGACATAGTAACATGGACTCAACTTTTCAGACATGACATGGAAATTACAATCGGCAGAAAATGCTTCACGTCCAAGTTCATGTATCCGTGAGAATTCATCCGATAAAGCCATAACATTAGCCTCCCCACGAAGGATTTATACTATAAATATTGAATACTAATTTATGAGTTCGTCGGAATTATACTGCTATATTGCTTTTCTTTGCTTCTCGATACTTCGTAGCTTGATACTAATTGATGTTTCGTGCACATAGTAAGCTTATGAAGGAGAATTCAGGTGTTGCAATAGGTTGTTCGTTTTTAGAAGCCTTTAAATATCTTCTGCAGTTTTATCACTTTATTTCTGATTGTTTTCTATCTTGGAGGCCTCTTTGGCTTATCAAGGTATATTTGGAAGAGAGCCAAATATAATTATTCCAAAAAAGTAAGCGACATTTTCGATTTTCTTTCATAGTGGTTGCCGGTTGGTTGTTCTTTTAATGCTTATCATTACTACTGTAAAGAGATATCCATTATTCGTCATTGATTTGCTGTATGTTTAGGCTACAACCACGTAGAGAACTGTAAATAGTAATAAACATACACGACACTAAATATACCATTGCAAGGACAAAAGAAAATCGCGATTATTTTGCCCAAAAATCGCGATACCGCGACAAGCCAAACAGACGACACATAAAATTTGTCGCAAAGAATGGGAAAATCGCGATCCCGCACATACCGCGATTTCCTTTTATCCCTGTACCATTGGGACCCCCCAAAAGTAGGGTACAACTATTGTTTTCCTTACACTTCTGATTCGTTATAATATTACTGTTACCGATTACATTAAGTCTATCCACTATCCTAAAGTGATGGTTTTCAGTTATGCACACGTCCATCATAGATTCGTTTTGACCAAATTTCACTAACCAAAGCTCTTATGATAGCGTCACCCTATTAAACCTCAGCAGTCTGGCACGACAATTGAATAAAGTAATGTTATTAAACAATAAATGAAGGACAGTGGACAATGTGCCAACAGAACTGTCAACATTCAGTTAACCGTCCTTAACAACGTCAATAACGTACTACTTTAACGCTATTTGCTTATTCGACTAACATTTTGCAGATAAATAACTTAATACATAGTTTTCGGCCCCAACGTTAATGTGGCTTTTGCTATGTGTTGGTTCAGCCGAATTAATTATTATGTAATCAAGTTTATTTTTCTCTTTTAGTTAGTTGTCATCCGGCCAAACATTAAGCAACTTATATTGCAGCACCATTTTTCAATTAGAATATTAAAATATGTCATTGTAATTTTGCATGGCTGAAATGTAACGCTTGATTTGTATATATAATAATTAATTGAATTTTCAAATAAAAAAAAAAATAACTTAATGCTAATGATTTATTTAATACTTATTTAAAGTTTTTCATTTGTAGATCGCTTCTACTTGCAGTTCGATACTTTTCGCTGTACAATTATTTAAACAGTTTAAACGAATATAGTAAGATAATAGTAATAGTAACTGCTGCCCAATGTTGCTGGTTTCTTGACATTCTTGTACGGTAAGAGGGTATCAACCAACGTGTGAAACTATATTACACCTATAGAGTTATGCCTATGCTAGACTGTAGTATACGGTCAAAGGTGTTAGGTGTAAACCAGTATAACTCCAGTAGAAAGGATGGTTTAACAGTAACCAAACATTAACCAATAAACAGTAACAAATAAACAGTAACAAATAAACAGTAACCAATAAACAGTAACCAATAAACAGTAACCAAACAGTAACCAATTAACAGAAACCAATAAATAGTAACCAAACAGAAACCAATAAACAGTAACCAATAAATAGTAACCAAACAGAAACCAATAAACAGTAACCAATAAACAGTAACCAAACAGTAACCAATTAACAGTAACCAATAAACAGTAACCAATAAGTAGTAACCAATAAATAGTAACCAATAAATAGTAACCAAACAGAAACCAATAAACAGTAACCAATAAACAGTAACCAATTAACAGTAACCAATTAACAGTAACCAATAAACAGTAACCAATAAGTAGTAACCAATTAACAGTAACCAATAAACAGTAACCAATAAGTAGTAACCAATAAATAGTAACCAATAAATAGTAACCAATAAACAGTAACCAATAAACAGTAACCAATAAACAGTAACCAATAAACAGTAACCAATAAGTAGTAACCAAACATTAACCAATAAACAGTAACAAATAAACAGTAACAAATAAACAGTAACCAATAAACAGTAACCAATAAACAGTAACCAAACAGTAACCAATTAACAGAAACCAATAAATAGTAACCAAACAGAAACCAATAAACAGTAACCAATAAATAGTAACCAAACAGAAACCAATAAACAGTAACCAATAAACAGTAACCAAACAGTAACCAATTAACAGTAACCAATAAACAGTAACCAATAAGTAGTAACCAATAAATAGTAACCAATAAATAGTAACCAAACAGAAACCAATAAACAGTAACCAATAAACAGTAACCAAACAGTAACCAATTAACAGTAACCAATAAACAGTAACCAATAAGTAGTAACCAATTAAAAGTAACCAATAAACAGTAACCAATAAACAGTAACCAAACAGTAACCAACTAACAGTAACCAATAAACAGTAACCAATAAGTAGTAACCAATAAATAGTAACCAATAAATAGTAACCAAACATTAACCAATAAACAGTAACAAATAAACAGTAACAAATAAACAGTAACCAATAAACAGTAACCAATAAACAGTAACCAAACAGTAACCAATTAACAGAAACCAATAAATAGTAACCAAACAGAAACCAATAAACAGTAACCAATAAATAGTAACCAAACAGAAACCAATAAACAGTAACCAATAAACAGTAACCAAACAGTAACCAATTAACAGTAACCAATAAACAGTAACCAATAAGTAGTAACCAATAAATAGTAACCAATAAATAGTAACCAAACAGAAACCAATAAACAGTAACCAATAAACAGTAACCAAACAGTAACCAATTAACAGTAACCAATAAACAGTAACCAATTAACAGTAACCAATAAACAGTAACCAATAAGTAGTAACCAATAAATAGTAACCAATAAATAGTAACCAATAAACAGTAACCAATTAACAGTAACCAATAAACAGTAACCAATTAACAGTAACCAATAAACAGTAACCAATAAGTAGTAACCAATAAATAGTAACCAATAAATAGTAACCAAACAGAAACCAATAAACAGTAACCAATAAACAGTAACCAAACAGAAACCAATAAACAGTAACCAATAAACAGTAACCAATTAACAGTAACCAATAAACAGTAACCAATTAACAGTAACCAATAAACAGTAACCAATAAGTAGTAACCAATAAATAGTAACCAATGTAACCCCAGTAGAGAGGATGGTATAAGACTCGAGACAATAACATGGCAAAGTCAGGATCAAGAGACGTGGCGGGAGTGGAACTTAAGAAGTTGCGGAATAAGAAGCTGACCAGCACTGAGTTTATGCAGGTAAAATATTTGCTATTTACCCAATATTTTAATTAAATGCGGTATTTATATCCCGCTCAAATAATTAACCAACGTAACGTGTCAACATGCATCAGGGCGGCTTTAAAAAAGTATACAAATTTCATAATCTACATTGAAAGTTGACCGACCCATGCCCCCAGGTTTGGTTCCACTACGACAAGGACAAGAGCGGTTTCCTGGAGTATGTGGAGTTCTCACAGTTCATGAAGGACTTGTTTCTCAAGGGGGACTGTGTAGATATTACCCCAGAACAGGTATACCCCCGGAAGTAATACCCCCGGAAATACCCCCGAAATTTCATGGACCTAGTCGGAAAACTTCAAAATAACCAACTCAATCCAAGCATGGTAATTGCCCTAGATATAATAAACCTTGGCAGAATTTACTGAAAGTTTGGTTTTAGGTAGAAAAGTACACTGCAGAAGTAATACATTTGATGGACACGTACGATGAAAACAGGGACGGAAGATTCGAGATGAACGAATTGGCAAAGGCCCTGAAAATCGAAGAGAACTATTTGAACAAGATTATCAACAAGAAATCTATAAAGGACAAACACGTTCAGGTAAGAAAGCATAAGAGCACATTTTGTCCCTTGCTGTTTACCAACTTTTGTGAAGTTGGGCTGAAATTTATTAGATGCAAAGTCTCTGAGACTTAATAGTTCAACTGAAGATGATATCCTGGCTCAGTGCCAGTGGCACTAAACTAGATATATATAAACATTTGCCGCTACAACCACAGTAAACGGCAATAATCCAATTCAATGGTAAACATGTGTACAACAGACTAAATAAACCCCTGACGAAAGTTTTAATCGTATTATAAATATCAGTTTATGTTGTTCCCGCATATCTAAAATCAAAGTAACATTCCACAGTCAATTTTGAAACATTACAATTCGAACGTGAACGACACCATAGAAGGTCCGGAACTGCATGCCTTTGTGGGGGACATAGCCCGGTACCTGGGCCTCAAACTGAGCCTGACAGTAATTGAGGCAGGAGTCACCAGAGTTAAAGTGAGATATTGTTCCCAATTGTTCTAACAAAGATGTTGCCGCCCACGAACGTGACAAAGGCGTGCGCCGCGCTGTTGCATTCGCTATTCCATTTTCGTACCGTCTTGATATTTTTATTGTCATATGATAATTAATTAATTAATTAATTAATTATGATCATATTTGCTGTCAAGCACGCATGTCTTGTTAGTATTGCATTGCTTGTGTGGTGTTGTTTGATACAGATATACGGGATTTGTTAAGGTCGGGCAAGCTGATATTAAATAGGACTTGAATTACTGTGGGTTGATGTCTGGTGCGTTTGAGAAATTAGTTAAAAAGTGCCGAAAATATGGTAGATCCATAAATTTGAGTGAAGATTGATAACCAATATCAGCTGGTGAATTCAGAGTTGTGAAATATTGTACTAGAAAATGAAAGGCAAAACGTTTTTGATCGCGGTGACATCAATCCTGAAGATGTCGAAACGTTGGCGTCGAAAGCTGTAAACACTATTTCAGTACTCGGTCGACTTATTGAAAACTTCTCAACATCTCAAACAAATCCATGTCTGTCATCATAATATAACACTTGTCGAGACTAGCTTCCCTGTAAGTAGAGACTAGGGAATATGCTGAATATACTAGAATTATGTGTAGAATATGTAGAATGTGTAGAATATGTAGAATGTGTAGAATACGTGGTTCCTGTAACCCGTCTGCAGATCTCTATGATGTAGCACGACAGCTGTTTTTGGCACTTTTTATAGTTTATTTGTAGCCACTTTGCCGCTTATTCCTGCCTGTGACTGCATGTTGTATACCGAATGAGTGTGATATCCTCTCCTGGACACACATTTCGTCTGATTCCTCGTGATGGCATTTTTTCTGTGTCAGAGCTGACGGATAAAATGAGTGAAACACACCACCCAGGAGAACGTTGGGACGGATGTCATCGACACAACCGCGATCAAGTCTCTTTTGTCAGAGGGGAGCATTCAGCAGCTCAAAGAGAGCTTCAAGTGTTAAGAAGTGGGATTCTATTCTAATGTTTTCTGTTATTCTAGTAAGATTTTAGCGAGGAGTATAGTCGGACAGATGAGAGATTTATTGTAAGATTATGACAAAATATTTTAGTTGGACTGGATAGTGGATGTTAAAGATGCATTTGGTCGGGTCCCATTATTGACCAATGACCACAATAATGTTAACGATATTGTAAACTGTAAATTTTATAATGTTATTTTCATTTATAATTTGTGCTCTTCTCAGTTTGCTAAATTGAATATAAAATCAACAGGGCTCACACTCAGTAGATATCAGCAATGAATCTTTGCTTTCTAATGCGTCGAAATAAGAAATTAACCACATTCAAGCAGAAGTAATTACATAGTACTAACTAATATCCCAACACCTTCAAAATGTAACCAGTAAAAGTGAAAACTCCAACACATTCACAACTGTAACCATAACAACTGTAACCATAACAACCCCAACTATTTCGACAGTCCGTACTGAAGCACTACGACTCGAACTGCGATCAGAAACTCCAGGGTATAGAGTTGAAAGCGTTTGTAGGAGATCTGGTCAGATCTACCCCTGATATACCATTCAACTTTACTATGATCGAGCAAGCGTGTAACTACATTGAGGTAAATATTATGATTATTTTGACGGTCTTGCTAAGAAAGCCATATTGTTTCAAGTATCATATATTTTTAAGCCTGAGCAGAACTGAGCCCTAAGATTCTTCAAGCACAAAGTTCCCTAACCCCAGTTCTCTAACCCCAGTTCCCTAACCCCAGTTCCCTAACCCTAGTTCTCTAACCCCAGTTCCCTAACCCCAGTTCACTAAACCCCAGTTCACTAAACCCCAGTTCCCTAACCCCAGTTCTCTAACCCCAGTTCCCTAACCCCAGTTCCCTAACCACAGTTCCCTAACCCCAGTTCCTTAACCCCAGTTCTCTAACCCCAGTTCCCTAACCCCAGTTCCCTAACCCCAGTTCCCTAACCCCAGTTCTCTAACCCCAGTTCCCTAACCCCAGTTCACTAAACCCGAGTTCCCTAACTCCAGTTCCTTAACCCCAGTTCCCTAACCCCAGTTCCCTAACCCCAGTTCCCTAACCCCAGTTCCTTAACCCCAGTTCTCTAACCCCAGTTCCCTAACCCCAGTTCCCTAACCCCAGTTCCCTAACCCCAGTTCCCTAACCCCAGTTCCTTAACCCCAGTTCCCTAACCCCAGTTCCTTAACCCCAGTTCTCTAACCCCAGTTCCTTAACCCCAGTTCCCTAACCCCAGTTCCCTAACCCCAGTTCTCTAACCCCAGTTCCCTAACCCCAGTTCACTAAACCCGAGTTCCCTAACTCCAGTTCCTTAACCCCAGTTCCCTAACCCCAGTTCCCTAACCCCAGTTCCCTAACCCCAGTTCCTTAACCCCAGTTCTCTAACCCCAGTTCCCTAACCCCAGTTCCCTAACCCCAGTTCCCTAACCCCAGTTCCCTAACCCCAGTTCCTTAACCCCAGTTCCCTAACCCCAGTTCCTTAACCCCAGTTCTCTAACCCCAGTTCCTTAACCCCAGTTCCCTAACCCCAGTTCCCTAACCCCAGTTCCCTAACCCCAGTTCCTTAACCCCAGTTCCCTAACCCCAGTTCCTTAACCCCAGTTCTCTAACCCCAGTTCCCTAACCCCAGTTCCCTAACCCCAGTTCCCTCACCCCAGTTCCCTAACCCCAGTTCCTTAACCCCAGTTCTCTAACCCCAGTTCCTTAACCCCAGTTTCCTAACCCCAGTTCCCTAACCCCAGTTCCTTAACCCCAGTTCTCTAACCCCAGTTCCCTAACCCCAGTTCCCTAACCCCAGTTCCCTAACCCCAGTTCCATAACCCCAGTTCCTTAACCCCAGTTCCCTAACCCCAGTTCTCTAACCCCAGTTCCCTAACCCCAGTTCCCTAACCCCAGTTCCCTAACCCCAGTTCCTTAACCCCAGTTCCCTAACCCCAGTTCTCTAACCCCAGTTCCTTAACCTCAGTTCTCTAACCCCAGTTCCCTAACCCCAGTTCCTTAACCCCAGTTCTCTAACCCCAGTTCCTTAACCCCAGTTCCCTAACCCCAGTTCCTTAACCCCAGTTCTCTAACCCCAGTTCCATAACCTCAGTTCCCTAACCCCAGTTCACTAACCCCAGTTCTCTCCCAAGGAAATGTCTGGTGAAAACATGCTCAACATCGACGCTATAAAACTGATTCTAAGTCTGGACAACAGGCAGCAGCTACACCGCAAACTGAGCGAGCAGGCGAAGTAGTGGAGGAGAGATTTGTGTGAGAGGATCGAGGGTAGATGGTGCAATGAAACCTTCAATTACTGTTGGATATTGCTCGAGAGAGATAAGGAACTCAGAGGAGAATACTTTATTTGTACCTAACTGAACAGTAAACAAACCGAGTTTAAGATGCTGGTGTCATATCGCACGTGCAAGGTGACTTTGCGCGAGAAATTGCGCGAGAAATTGTTCGTGACGAGTCTTGCACGGTACAACAGAAGATTTATATCAGAAGTGCTGTAATCTCATTTAAATTACTCTCGACTTATAATTAATTGACGGTGAAATCCCGATTTATGAGATTGATTATGATATATTTTGACAAAATTATATGAGAGTAGATTTTTCTGACTTTATCATGGATATATTATAATAGGCAAGCGGAAGGTGACTAATTAATTGATATTTTATTACTACGACGCGAAGAAAATGAAACCATAATGCCTCCCAGATTTTTATTTAACTACATTCACCTGTGTTGTCTGTTGACCCCAGAGACTTTTGTTGTGAAATCTTTGTTACCCGAATTTTACTTTACTCTAAAGTTAATAATTATGTTTATAGTCGACTATATATAACCTGCTCTGTGTGATTTGTGTTTTTGTACAAATTTTTATGATATCTTACGAAGCATGCGACTGATCGAGATCTGTAGTTGAGTTTTTTTAGTAGATTTTCCTTAAATAATTGAGAAAGAAATTGAAATTAATCTATTTACACTTTTAAAATGATTTATAAGGTGAAAATGTATTAAAATGATTAAACGTCAAAAAAGTTCCATCTGTCGACTTGAAAGATAATGGTAAAATACAGTAATAGAGTATACAGTAAAACCCCGATTTACCGCGATCTGTAAATCGGGATTTACTGTATTTTTATCAAGACACTTATTTTACTTCGGAGTATTCCAACAGCCACATTGTTACACAAGTGCAAACAGCCAATTACAGGAAGCCGAAGGATTTGTTTAGCCAGTGACGGTTAAGGTAGTGTGTACCATACTTTCTTCGCCCGAGACTTTGCTGCAATGTGCAGCTCCTCATTTAAGTTTAACCCTCACACCCGATTTCTCGAGTATTCGGCTGAGTAGACCAGGGGCTGCATAGACCACTCAGGATCCTTAGCTGAACGTCAACGACGCTCACCCCACGACCAGGCAGACAGTGGGATTCGAACCGTACCCGCAACCTTACGATTGCAAAGCTGGCGTTCTAACCAACTGTGCTACCTATATCAGCCTAAACAATTACAAATTAGAATGTCAACTACTGGTAAAATGCGGGTAAGTTCTTTTAGTTTTACTGGTAACAAGTCTACAATTAAAATAAAGATTGACCATTTTTACTTCGAATTGGCTTGATAAAAATGCAACATTAAACTTAAAGAGGAGTGTAGCCGCTAAAATAGTGCCTGCACAATAGAGTTACCAATCACAGTGCTGAGTCCTTAATCAAGCTTTTGAGTTACTATTAACATTCCTGTCATGCTTATGGGGGGTGGGGGGGGGCGGGGATCATGTTAATTTTTGTCCGTTTTCAGAAAATAGGTACCGAACGGACAAAAACAAAAACGGACAAAAACGGACAAAAATTGTAACTTTTGATTTAAATTTTCTCCACAATTTGTAACAGGCTATCTGCAAAAATAGGTAGCCCGGTTAATGACCATGGTTCTTTCTCAAACTTTTAATCCTCAATTAGGCACAAACAATAGTCTACACATTTTTTAATAACATAAAAAGGGATGAAAATCAATTCATTTATCATGCAACAACTTTTTCATATTACTGGAGAGTAAAACTTTGTTAAACACAAAGATTCTTGAGCACATTTTAAGTCAAACTCAAATGCGTTTAAAAACATTTGAGTATATAACAATAAATTATGTAAAAAATAACACCAACAATAATTATAAATTGAACAAATTATTGAGAGATGAAAGAGAAGAAGAGGAGGAGGGGGACTGAGGAGGGGGACTGAGGAGGGGGACTGAGGATGGGGACTGAGGAGGAAGAGGAGGGGAGCTGAGGAGGAGTAAGACTGAGGGGGAGAACTGAGGAGGAGGAATGAATAGGAGGAGGAGGAGAAGAAGGACTCAAGAGGAGGAGGACTGAGGAGGAGAAGGAGGACAGATGAGGAGGAGGAGGAGGAGGATGAGGCGACGAGGACTGGGGGAGGACTGAGGAGGAGGAGGAGGACTGAGGAGAACTGAGGAGAAGGAAGAGGAAGACTGAAGAGGACTGAGGAGGAGGAGGACTGAGGAGAAGGGGGAGGAACAGAAGGAGGAGGAGAAGGACTGAGAAAGAGGAGGACTGAGGAGAAGGAGGAGGACTGAGGAGAAGGAAGAGGAGGAGGAGGAGGAGGAGTTAGAGGAGGGTGACAGAGGGGAGGACTGAGGAGGAGGAGGGAAATGACGAGGACTGAGCAGGAGAAGGAGGAGGACTGAGGAGGAGAAGGAGGATGACTGAGGAGGAGGAGGACTGAGGAGGAGGAGGACTAAGGAGAAGGGTGGGGAGGAGGACTGAAGAGGAGGACTGAGGAGGAGGAGGACCCGGGAGGAGGACCCAGGAAAAGGCCCCATGAGGAGGAGGAGGAGGACTGGGGAGGAGGAGGACTCATGAGGACTCATGAGGACTCATGAGGACTGATGAGGAGGACTGAGGACGAGGAGGAGGAGGACTAAGGAGGATGACTGATGAAGAGAAGGAGGTGTATGATGAGGATGAGGAGGTCTAAAGAGAAGGAGGATGACAAGAAGGAGGACTGAGGAGGAGGGCTGGTGAAGAGGACTGATGAGGAGGAGGAGGAGGACTGATGAGGAAGAGGACTGAGGAGGAAGAGGAAGAGGATGAAGAGGAGGACTGAGGAGGAAGACTGAGGAGGATGGCTGAGGAGGATGAAGAGGAGGACTGAGGAGGAAGACTGAGGACGATGGCTAAGGAGGATGACGGTGGAGGATGACTGAGGACGAGGACGACGACTGAGGACGAGGAGAAGGAGGACTGAGGAGGAGGACTGGTGAAGAGGACTGATGAGGAGGAGG